ACTAATGAATTATGAAGAACCTGAAGTACGGATTCAAATTCGTCAATCATCTTTATAATTAAGAGTATTTTTAGAATTTATATTTTGGTAAACTTAGGAAAATTTTAACATGTACCGCTGCATAGTGAACTTGAACACAGGTATGTTCGGCGATAACGAGTCATATCAAGAAATGTATTGCGTCAATCGAGTGTCGCGATCATTTCGGACCATGAAACATAAAATAATAATAAATAATAAAATAATAAAACATAGAAGTTTCGAAAGTTGTTGGAAAAGTCGAGAATGTGGCAGAAGTGCGGGTTTCTTGTTCGTTTAAAGGGGTTACGTGAGTCACGATTGTTTCGTTCGGAAAATAGGGATCGTTTCGGCATTTCTACCGGAAGTTGTAAGACCAGGCGTGAGCCATTTTGTGTACGAAAAATTTTCTTCTGCGTAGGTGTATGGGAAGATTCGTAGTGCGATTTCAAGAACTGGAACGTGCATTTTCTTAGGTGAATTTTATACGGGTAGTAGTAAAGTATTAGCAGTTTAAAGTTGTAGTAGACCTAGCGACCTAGTAATAAATACGCAAAATTTAATGCCAATGCAGTGGAACAGTGGATTCAGGGCGTATGTAATTTGCCGTTTGCAACCGTTCCCGTATAATTATTTGTTATTTTTACAGCCGCTGAAAGCTCTAATGGCTAGGGAAGAAGAGAGAGAATCAATCCTGCTAAGTTTTAGGTCCGTTAATTACACATTAATCGATTTTAATTTCTAATGGTGTACGAAAACCAGCATTAAACCAATAAAGTCTTGCAGTTTAAGGAAAATATCATATTTTTTTGCCGAATTTGGAGAGTTCATTGGATAAGTACAGTTAACCGTAATTAGTTGAATGGGTTATAGTAACAGCCTCCGATTAAGTCGAGATTACATAAATTCGTTAGTGCGCCCATAAAAAACCTGAATTTTGACACCGGTTCCGTATTTTTAAGAATACACATGTGTTTTGAAGTTTCTCCATTGAACGTTTCTAACATAAACCTGCACCAATTTACCCTTCCCCGTTTTTGATCTGCAGTTAACAAATGGGGAGTGCTCGACTATTCTACCGGCATTTTACTATGATGGTTTTCTTCGATTTTTTTATAAGTAGAATCAATAGTGGAATAACGTTACGACAGATAAACCGTCATACCTTACACGTATGATTTAATTGAAAAAAATATGAAACCTATATTTTTCTCCTTGCAGTTCCTTTTAGTAAATAGACAGAAATTGCTTGCTTTAGTGCAACTATTGATTTCTTTTATTGTCTGTATTAAGCAGCAGAGCAAAGCGATACAAGCTTTATAGGGGAGTCGATGGTGTCCGTCTGTCCGTCCGTCCATGAACACGATAACTGTCAAACGCTTGGACCGATTTGGTTCAAACTTTGCACAGTTGCATATAATGCACATGTAACAAGCCAATTGAAAATGCGTCAATCCAATGACCCTGTAGGGTCACACCGAGATACTCTGCCGCTTTTTTAGATGCTCTTTAGGGGTTTATTTTTCTGTGAAACACAAAACTTCAATAACGATTTTCTTATTAGGCATCCTGATTTATAGAACTTCAGAAAGTGACAACTATGGTATTGTCGATTATTAAATCTTTCAATGTGAGCATACGTTTTTGTTTTATTTGAGAAATATCTTACAGTATGATCATTAAACGTATTTTTTGTAACAATTGAGCGCTCGTAGTGGTCATGAATCGTAACAGTCGTTGGTAACCGGCCCCTAAGACGATAAACTAAATAAATGAGAATACTACACTTGCCTTGTTCTAGTTCAATTAATATCACAGTAAATTAAGTGTAAGTCTATTCAAGATCAAACGGAGAATAATATTAATATAAAAGTGTTACGAAAAGGCAATAACGGGAAGGAATTGCTCAATTCTAACGGTCCTAAACGCCACAACATGAAAATGTCCACATCAAAATACTTATACAATACAACGAAAAAAAGTTCAATCAAAAGGTTTAATTATACGATAAAGAACAGTTTTACATTCATAAAAGATTACAGGTTATTAAATGAGTGGCAAATTGGGTAATTAAACCAGAAATGTAGTTAAATGTAACCCTTAGAAGTCACATTTAGATTTAGAGAAACATAAAACGTACATAATTCTTTACCTAAAAAACCTTTTATAAATTCAGATCTACATTTTATATGAAACATATATTATATTTGAGGTTAAAAGGGAAGGGTAAATAGGTACGTCATCAAAGAGGTTCTCACTTAACCAGGAAATGCTTTTAACAGCGTCGCAGTTACACTCGTGGATAATCCTAGAACTAACTCGCTCTCTGGAGAGATTGCGCTGAACTCGCAGAAGGCGAACCGTAAATACAAAATATTTTGCAGTTTCGTTTATTAAAAATATTGCATTTATCTGTCCATTCGAAAAAGTAATAAACGTTAGCTTTAATTATTATTTAATACAGTCACATTCAGTAATATTTTGGGGGAGGGTAGAGGGTTGACGTCGAAGGATAATTTTGATTTACCGTTGCACTCCAGCTGGATTTATCGCTCGAATGTATGTTTGAAGTTTCTTCTAAAAGCTTATGTAGCGATTACAAAAATGGCTTCTTTTTAATTAAGAACATTTAACACCATTTACAAGTATCTGAACATTTTACATTTTTATCTCATAAAAATCTAAGTTAATTCTGTATAAGTTAATTATAGTTGATGAACCAGATGGAAAGTTAATTAACTAACACCGTACATTCTAAACGAGGTATTTCAATTACGTTTAGCAATTTTCACTAGGTAATTAAAATCTTATATTAAAACCACTTTGAATTTTTTCTACCTTCTTAGATGTTAAAAATTGCGTATATACGTCAGCACATTTGAGATTATATCTTTCTCAGTAAATATTTCGGCAATCCTGTACTCAGTACTACCATACCTACATCACGAAGTACGAATTCAATTTTGAAATGCTTGCGTTGAGCCTATACAACCAAACCTTCGCCATATCAAACAGTAATTCTGTCGTTGTTGTGAAGGAATTTTAACAATTGCCAAATGCATTATGTATTTTTACTGCCAATAAGTGAACCTGACTTTAAACTGAAACGACACAAATTTTGAAGGATTTTTTTAAATTACAAAGTAATTAACTTTTATGTCCATTTATAGTTGTCGACTCTATATATTTTTGGGTTAGAATTAAAATTAAATTAAATGAACTTATAAGGGCCAAGCACAGTAAATGTAAATACCATGCGATCAAAAATGAGTTGCTATCGAGTCACCTTTGGAATTTTTGTTTACATATGAACTCGTACTTAACCTGAATTTCCAAAGGCGACTCGATAGCAACTCATTTTTGATCACCCGTTATTCAGCCCTGTGATGTATCAGAAACGTAAAACTTAACGTGCAGGTTATCTGCCAAAAACGTTATTTAGTATAGACGAAATGACGTTTTTGACAGATAACCTGCGCATTAAGTTTAACGTTAGTGATACATCATCATGTCGATTTCGAGAAAAGTAAATGATTTTACTATACTGCAAAATAAATTCCTTTTCAGAATACTATTGATGCACTTAGAGAAAATCCACTCTCTAGCAGAGATTATCGTCGCGATCAAATTTACAGAGAAAGTCTTTAGTAGCTTTGTTTGCATTGAATAATTACTAATTAAAATTCAGACAAACTAATCACACTGATCCACACATCTGATGTTAAACCGTAAAACGGCCATATGGAACCTTACGCTTTGAACATGATTACAATCCTTAAGCTGTTTTTCAACTCTCCACTAGAATCTTCTGTTGTATGTCGAATTTTCACTCAGATTTACGTAGAGTTCGTTAATAAATCAATCAGTCTCGTGGAAATTAGATTTAATGATAGTTATTATTTCATAGTTCGTTAATCTGCCGCTAGAGGTAACTCGAATGTACTTTTCTTTATTTGCCCTGTTTTACTCCACATCTTTCTCTACCAGTTTAAGAGATTTAAGTTTTTCTTGTGTTAGTACTATTGGAAGCGCTGTTAGAGGACATTGTTTACAAGTGCTTAAGCCTCAATATTGAGTAAGTGTAGAGCTTTGCGCAATAATCAATTAACGGTAAATATGTTCTTTTAGGGCTTTGTCTTGCCTCCTAATTTTCTTTTCTGGTTTAGTTTTCCTTCATTCTACCCTGTTATTATCTACGTTAGTATATCGACGTACATCGACGCCTTTAATATTACTAGAACTTGAATGAAATCGCATTTTTACATGGACTTGCCATTTTAAGCTCAGTGACATCACGTGAATAGTTCCAGTGACCTACATACCACTTATATGCACCTGAATTATTGCTCCTGTAACTACAAGTATTAACGATAATTCTTTTGGAGATTACTGTAACAGTTTTACTGCTGGGATACAACTACGACATCAATATCTCGAATTTCATCAACGTTGCCTTTGTTGTTCATTCGTACTAGCTTAACTACGTTTCATATCCTTTCCATTAGTTTGTTTGCCGACATGTTTTAGTTAATTACTTTTGAATTGTACATTGAGTTATTTAAAGTTACGATTATTTTGTCACTGCCCGTTTGTAAACCACCGCGTGTTGTCGAGTCAAAGGTTTGCGTTTTTTTAGTGAACGTACACAGTAAAAAATATTGCGGTGTGATCGTACACACCAACGTTTAGTGATGATTTGGTGTGAAATTCTACAACAAATAGTGTTCAATTTTACACCATTTCCATATGAAAATAGGTGTAGTTAATTTTAACCAAATTGAAGTGTAGTTCAGCACTATTGAGATTAAACCACAACCATGCAAATCGCGCTTGCACCGCAAAGAGTTAAATTTCTCAAAACAGAGTGCAACAACACCATACATATAAGATTTCACTTACCATGGAGTGCATTCAACGACAAGCGTAAGCATTTATGGCAGGTTTGTTATTTTGTTGGCCAGTTGGCCTTATTCGATTGAAGAAATGCATTATGGGAAATCTGACCCCAGTTCTATGATTCCTGTTTTAGCGACTCCCATGAATTATATGCATTTGCAATTAACTAACTTCACGATGTTGTACGTAAACATAATAACGTAACCTCTATTTTGTGTTTACGTAGAAATAATACCCTTTGCAATAAATATTTCATGTGCTTTAGTTGATATAATGTCGAAAGTGAAAAAAAAGGGCCAACGGTGTTGTGTACCAGGTTGTCAATCTGATACAATCGCAAACCGGAATGTATCATTCCATACATTTCCAAAAGACTCTAGTGAAAAACAGATTTGGATTAATCGAATTAATAGAGTTGGAAATCGTGGTAAATATTCTTTGTGGCAACCCACACAATACCATCGCATCTGCGGTTTACATTTTAATAAATCTGGAAAAAGGAGATATGAGGACAAATATCCTATTTATTTTAAACACAAGACATATGAACGATTACAATTAGTACCATCATGTAGGTGAAATAACCTATGAAATGCTAAAGGTTAACTTAAGTATGTTGTAGCATATGAAGCGATCCAAAATGTACAATATGAAGAGATTGTTCCACACTGCGAATTTGAAGGTAATATGCAGCAGGAACCCACGTTGCCTATTCAACAAGCGTCGCCGCATGGGCCCACTTTGCAAATTCAACAAACACCACGATACACTTACAAACAAATGCCTTTTAAAACAAGTTAGTAGCATTCATTTATTTATTTACTGTAGAAATTAATAATCATTGTGGCTTTTATTTCATTTTAAGACCCAAATAGATAACTAAAAACTAAAAAGTTTATTTTTAGTGCTACCATCTATCACGGACAGTGTGACGGCAAGTAACGACCACAACTATGGCCTTCCTTATATGTGTGGAGAAGAAGTGTCTGCTTTAATTAAAACCATGAATGAAGAAATATTACTTTTAAAAGAACAGCTTGCAAAATGCACCTGTATGGAAAGAAACAGAGAGCTCATCAATATCCAAAATGAGTTAGAGACGCAAAGAAAAAAGAATATTAACGTAAGGCTAAAACTGCAAATATTAGAACATCAAATGAAGAGCTGTAGACAAGCAATAAGTTTTAATTTATCAAACATACTTAATAATGAACAAATGTTAAAGTTTTATACTGGTTTCAAAAGTGTAAATAGATTTAAAATTTTGTTAAAGTTCATGTATTTGCCATACAGAAAAGCAAAACGTAACATTCCAGGCAGACCCTCTTCGCTCTCATATAAGGAACAAGCACTGGTATTTTGCTGTAGGTTACGGTTAGGCTTATTAGAACAAGACCTGGCCTACCGATTTTGTATAAGCCAAAGTGCAATAAGTAAGATTGTGATTTTTTGGATAAATTTGTGCAGTGTGACATTAAACCAAATTAATATATGGCCAAGTAAAGATTTAGTTTGTAAGTATATGCCTATATCATTTAAAAATAAATATCCAACCACAAGGGTGGTGATCGATAGTACCGAATTATTTATAGAAATGCCCTCAGATTTTATTGTTCAAAGTTACACTTATTCACAATATAAATCTCATAATACGGCCAAAGGATTGTTAGGTATTACCCCTAATGGTTTTGTATCCTTTATCTCAGATTTGTATCCCGGGAGGAGTAGTGATAAGGAAATATTCAACAGTTGTGGCATTTTACAATTGTTAGAACCTGGCGATTCAGTTATGGCCGACAAAGGGTATGTCATTCGTGACGAATTGGAGGCACGTGGAGTTGCATTAAATATACCACCTTTCCTTGCATCAGATTCGAAACAATTTTCTCCAGCAGATGTAGAGAAAACAAAAGAAATCGCATCGTTACGAATTCATGTAGAAAGAGTAATAAGCGAAATTAAAACCTTCAGAATTTTAAAATTTGTGTTTCCGAATAGTGCACATTGCAGTTTAAACCAAATTTGGAAAATTTGTTGCCATTTGCAGAACTTTATTAATGAACCTTTACTTAATAGAAAAGTATGCAACATAAATAGAAATAAGTAATCTACAGTTAGGCTTAATATATAGACATAGATACTACACAATACTTTAACATTACAAACTAGAATTAAATAAAATAATACACATAAGTAATATAATAAAAATAGGTGTGAACATTACAAATTACAAGATTTATCAAAATGTAAAAAATAAAATTTCGTTAAACTTGGTAACATTAATGTTTTCCATAAATGTGGATCAAAACTGATTCTTTCAATAAAAAAACTACTTCCACTATCAACCACTAAATCGCATTCGAAAATACCACTTAAAGCCATTTGACCCTGAACTTGAAAATGCTGCTTACTGTTCTGTTTTAATGCAATGTGATTATTTTCGTTAAAATAAAGATAGTTGCAATAATTTTGTTTAATACTTTCTGTTACAGACAGTTCAAGTTTCATCGCTTTTGTTAAAGTTTTAATTTCTATAAGGACATTATTGCCAGATGTAAATTGAACTAATTTGTCAGGCGTCGCTCCTAAAAATGGGCACCCAGGATTAACTACTAATCCTACATCAAACACTTTACTAATTTCTTCGCCCACAAGATTCTTCGATATCTTATATTTCTCTAGTGCTCTCTCCTCGTTTGCCAACCCAAGTGCCATATCTGCAGTTTGTCGTATTTCTGTACATTTAAAAATTTTATTTACAAACGCGTTTGTAACACTTGCTTTCCGTCTAATGATTTCATAAAAATTGGAAGCAGTAATTCGTTTACTCCGTTCTTTTTTCCACCTTTCTGATACGCTTTGAGTAGTTGTGTTTTTGAAAAGATCCTGGGCTTGACTTAAGTTTATTTGGCAGCATTCTAACAACTTCACGTTATAGTTATTTCTTCCTATTATTTCACCTACTTCATTTTTCCACAAATCTAATATTGGTACTTGTATAGCTTCATGATTAACATCGTCACTAGGCAATAATTCAGCTTCTTTAGGAAAAAGTGAGGGTAAAGGGGAATTTTGCTTTAAATGATTTTCCTGCAAAACATCTTGAAACATTTCTCCTATGCCATTATCTGCCAGTCCTTTTTTTAATATTTCAATATATTTTTTGTCAATCCGAACAGTTAGTTGAATGTCTGCCAAATTTTTTCTCCGCTGTAATATCAAACGTTCAGTGTTCTTTGCCTTTCTTTTCACATCGTGCTTTATAAAATTCAATTCAGCAAATTTGGTTGCACTTCTAGGAGTCCTACTTTTCGCTCCTATACCCCACTTCCGTGGTAATGATGTGCACGCTACTTCTGTTAAGTTACTTGCGTGTGTCTTCGCAATATCAAAAACGCTCCATAACAAAGTATATATATGTTTACATGCACCACTAAGACCAGCTGGACACCCACATGACGCTTTGACAATTTCTACTTTCAGATGCACATATATTAGTATTTTGCACAGATATTTTTTGCTTAACGTGAAAGAAGCTTGAACGTTAGCTTTTACAAATATCTTGTTACCATCATTTGCAATAAAAACATTTGATGTTTTATGTGCTTTGAACATCCTATATCCAAGGTTCACACTTTTCTTGGAGTTTGAATCTTGATTGTAAGTTAAGATTACATCTTCAGTAAAATTTATTTCATGTAGCCTTGTCAAATTTTTGGTCCATGGTGCATTTGGTTCCTCTAATACACTAAAACATTCAACAGATATAGTAATCCTTATACATTTAGCAATCTTTACCTTGCCATTTTTATAAATATCAGTTTCTAGTTTCTGTTACACGTTACACCCATCCTATAAAAAAGAATCGAATGTTTAACATTCATACAATCAATCGTAGAATTCACACAAACCTCCCACATATAAACAATACAGCATTTATGGCATACAAAGTCAATAATTTCAAATTGCCAAAACATCTCATCTCATTGCGATAACACGTAAACTATTTTCCCGCAAAAATTGATGGTCATACCCCATGGTTCCTAAAGTAAACGTTAGATGGCTCCGACCTTTCGAATAAGGCGTATT